TGGTGGCGGTAGCAGCGGCCGTAGTAGTGGTAGTTGTGGTGGTGGCAGCAGTAGCAGCAGTAGTAACTCAGTAGTAGTAGTAGTAGTAGTAGTAGTAGTAGTAGTAGTAGTAGTAGTAGTAGTATCAGGACGAGTAATAATAGTAGTAGTAGTAGTATAAAGGAGCAAGTTTAAAATTACCAAGACCACCAAAATGACACTAAACCCGAAAACCCGCTAAACCAAAATGACCAAAACGACCAAGATTACCAAAAAGTCGTTCATTAAAAGCGGTTCTGCAATGCCCCTTTAATGTAATAGTGGTGGTGGGGGTAGTAATAGTAGTAGTAGTAGTAGTAGTAGTAGTAGTAATGGTAACAGCAGTAGTAGTAGTAGTAGTAGTAGTAGTAGTAAACGTAGTAGTAGACGTAGTAGTAGTAGTAGTAGTAGTAGTAGGAGTAGGAGTACTAGTAGTAGTAGTAGTAGTAGTAGTAGTAGGAGTAGTAGTAGCAGTAGCAGTAGTAGTAGTAGTAGTAGCAGTGCTAGTAGTAGTACTACTAGTCGCCGGCGTCGTCGTAGAAGTAGTTGCGGTAGCAGTAGTAGTAGTAGTAGTAGTAGTAGTAGTGCAGTAAGTGTGCCGGGAAGTGAGAACCGATGCTGAGCAAGATGACACGTCATCTTGGTAATCTTGGTCAGGGGGTAAACGCCAAAGGGGGCAAGTTTACGCGTCGTCTTGGTCATCGTGGTGGGAGCTTTTCAGGGGGCGAGATGATCTTGGTCATCTTGATTGGGAGATTTTTCGGTCTGGGGGAGTGGTAATCTGTCTTGGTCATCTGGGTTGTCAAGTGGTGCAAGTGGCTGTGCCCTTCCCCTACCCTGCAAAATGACCTAGATGACTGAGTGGTGCAAGATGACCAAGATTACCAAGTTCGCGCGTCATCTTGACCCCCCTTAAAACCCTCCCCGAGCAAGATGACCAAGAATCATGAACTTGTCTTCCTTTTTTTGCTTCGGGACTCCATGGATTTGCCCAAGTTCCTCCCCCTCCTCAATCATGAGCGGTTACTCCCCGAGCAATATGACCAAGTTGACTCACTATCTTGCCCCCCACCCAAGATTACTAAGTTCCAGATGAGCAAGATTACCAAGACTACCATGTTTGCCAAGATGACGAAGACAGTTAGCGGTTCTCGATTCCCGGCACAAAGCAGCAGTGGTGGTGGCGGTGGTGGTGGGGGGCGTGTCAGCTGCAGCAGCACGAGCAGCAGTAGGACGTGGCAATATGTGGCAATAGCAGCAGGAGTAGCAGCAGTAGTAGCAATAGTAGTTGTTGCTAAAGAAGATCATGCTTCGTTGCTGTTGCAGTGGTATGCATATGAGCACTGGCACGTGGCACGAGCACTAGCAGTCATAGTAGTAGTAGTAGTAGTTGTTGTTGTTGTTGTTGTTGTTGTTGTTGATGTTGTTGTTGATGTTGTTGTTGTTGTTGTTGTTGTTGTTGTAGTCGTCGTCGTCGTAGTAGTAGTAGTGGTGGTGGTGGTGGTGGTGGTAGTAGTAGCAGTATGTAGCAGTGGTAACTTGTCCTCGTCGTCGTCGTAGTCGTCGAGTGGTCGTCGTCGTCGTCGTAGAAAGTAGGCATGGGAGTGGCAGCAGCAGTAGAGGCAGCAGTAGCAGCAGCACTGCACTAGCAGTAGCAGTAGCAGGAGCCGCAGCAGCAGCATCGACTGTAACAGCAGCAGTAGCAGTAGAAGTGGGATTAGTGGCGGCAGCAGCAGCAGGCGGCAGCAGCAGCAGCAGCAGCAGCAGCAGCAGCAGGAGTAGTAGTAGTAGTAGTAGTAGTAGTAGTAGTAGTATCAGTAGTACTAGTTTCCGGCAAGCGCTAGCAGAGTTGGTAGCAGTCGGTAGGTAGATAGGTAGGCAGGTAGGTAGGTAAGTAGGCCGGCAGGTAGGTCGGAAGTCTAGGTAGGAAAAACAATGCTACAGTACGAACGCAACGCTGACCCTGAGGTAACCGTTATCAGCTTTTTGGAATTGTTGAGCATCGTCGTAGAAAGACACGTGGCTGATACTCACTAAGTTAATTGGATTTAATTGGTAGAGCTGAGAGGGCTCATCACAAATACTCATGGCGGAAGAGAAAAGCTACCGCCAGTTGTCCTGCATTACTTGTAGTCAACGGTAGCTTAAGATACGCTTCAATACGCTTCATACAAAGCCTATCGCGCACTCGAATGACATAAAGTTGAAAACGAAGGTGAGTGATAATTCGCGGGTGTGACACCAGTCAAGCACAGTAGGAATTAGCACGCGTAGCATGTCCAGTGAATCTTCAAGTCAATCCGTTGCTCTGACCTCGAAGATACCACCGAACCAGAACTCAGTTCACGCAGCTCCTACGTGTGAGTCTGCGTGCATGTTCTTTGTGGCCTGCCTGTTGTCCGCAGGTTTGCGTGTCTTTGTGATATGCGTGTCACGAACATAAGCTCTACAATACTAGCAATTTCTGGCAGTGGGCATCTAGACCATCGGGAAAGACTGTTGGACGGACATTCAAAAGACAACCCCTATATATCAAAATGAAGGTGCAAATTCCGAGAGTTCGGTGTTGAAGGAAAGGGGCGTCTTGAAGCGACTCACTCAGCAGCTTCATGAACTCCAAGCGTGGCAATGTGCGATAGAGCCTTGCGAGCGAGTTGCGTCGGTGGAATTAACGAACTGAAGACCCGCAACTCAGACGCAGCGCAGATCTGGGTCGCCGGCCATAAATCCGCAAGCTGATGAAGTTTTCCGAAAAACTCAAGCCTGCAAAAGACAGCTGGTCAGCTACAGTCTACGTTGCAACTGGCAGCGAATCAAGGGCTGCGTGCTGTCAGTTGGCATCCTTTCACGTCTCTGCTGAACCATGGCCACAGCAGCTTGCATTTCCTGAATCCTCGCAAAGTGAGATTACGGCTGAAGATTGTAAAGTTTGCTGAATCATCTTTGCCACAGCGTTTGGTTCCCAACCATGCCCCCAAGGCACTGGATCTCCATTCTCTGCACTGCATCGATTTCCAGGAAATCATACAGAACCTCTGTGTACGGCCCATAGATGCCCGCTGGTGATTTGCCCTGGTTCTCTTCACCGCTCACACTAAGCTCAAGTCGAAAGATGTGCAAAGCAATGCGACCTGAGCAGCAAGCAGACTGTGCGCAGCGGGCACAGTCGAGTCGGAAAGGCACTTGCTTCATCATGTGCACACAGAACAGACAGATTTGTGCTTGTTTGCAGCCATGTTGGCTGCGATGGAGCACGTAAGTGCTCGAGAATACTCCCTCACCGCCACGCAGCTCAGAATGAGCAATGGTATTCCAGTGACGATGCTCACCAACAACCTGAAATCCGATACCATGCATGCTCCCATGCCAACATGAAACGCAGCTGTAGAACAACTCTGCAGCTTGGTCTTCGTGACACGTCATGAGATTGAGACAGTTGTGAGAACAAAGCAAAACGGTCTAGCAAGCCGCATGCCGCGGGTGACAGGGCCACCACCCAAAACGCAAAAACTTTCAAACACAGCTTTTTGCCGTCAGCTGAGGAATCAGGCTGGACGTGTTCAGGCGACAGAACCTCGTCAACCAGCTGCGCACGCTGCCCAAAGTGAAGAATGTGTTGCCAGAAATGGCCACTGCGTGCCAATTATCTGCTGCCCTGCGACGGTGCAGGAAAATAAGAAGCCGTGGATTTGAACTGGAAAAGACCCTTCATCTTCATCTCCTGCTGTCTCAATACCGACTCCACATCCTCGGAATAATTCAACTGTCATGCACGGCACAGGGCTCCCGAAAGCAGCTGGAAAAAGCATAGCAGACAAGATGCCGATATCAATTCGGAACCTTGCTCGAAGAACCGCTTGCCAGAGGCACTAATTAGTCACTCGTCACTAGCACCTACACCGCTTCAAACTTATTCACGAAACGGCAAGTTGTTTGCCCTGTATTTGTGTCGAGGATCCACTTCAGCTCACGAGGTTCCGCGACGGCGTCGTGCGACTGGGCTGAAAGGTCTAGAACTGAATAAGACGAACCGTCTAGCTAGCCTAATCTCCACAGTATGCACTACTAGTTCCACATGGTCCTGGCGATGAAACTGCACGTGCTAATGTATTCTCGCCAGCTTGCAAATGTTCCAAAGGATCCCTCTTCTTCATCTCCAGTCTTTGGGTTCTTTCTTCGCTTGACCCAGCGCCCGAGGCCAGTCAAACGCAGAACCTTTGGGCGTTCGAATGACAACGGCTGAGCATGCCTTTTCCCTCTTTTGATCCCTTGCCTTTCTCGGCACATGCGTGACCTTCTTCCATTTTTGACGCCTCAGACTCTTCCCGGAGCACAGACGAAGCAACACCAGAGCAGATCAACCATGCTATGTTGACTGTTGACTATGCTCTATGTGCTCGACAAGCTGCAGTCCCGAAGCTTTCTTCTTTGCTTCCTGAACTGAACCAACAGGATCTGCACAACAGAACAGGGCTCATAGGGTCCGTATGTGGGGGAACCCAATACACGTCACATCAAACACATGTAGACAATCGTTGAGAAGGCGGTCCTCGACGCGGCTGCCAAGAAACCTTACTTCTTTGGCCTTCGCACGGTTTCCAACAAGCTCCTGGGCGAACGAACCAGGGAAGCAGGCTCTGTGCGGCACTATGGCCCAAAAATGCTGTCAGCGTGAAGGAATTCTTGGCACCCTGTGATATGCTTCTCGACCAGATCAGCCACGGATTGGGGAAGACATGTTGGAAAAAATACCATCCGCAAGTCGACAGGACACGGCAACGTGGGAAGGTGAGAACGTACATCCATGTTCATCCGTTCGCCGAAACTTTTCAGAGTCACCTTTCTGGAACATGGCCCCTAAAAGAAAAAATTGCCGCACCCGCTTGTGCCCGGACTGCTGTGGGGTCAGCTCGCACACGCCGAGAAAATCTCCACAGACTTGTTGGCGTGGTGTGCCGCTTGCCTCAGCCCTCGGCCTTCTGCTCGTGAAAAGCTTCCGCACTGCTTGTGCGACTATCCACTTGGACTTGGAGCTTCTGAAAGCAAAGCCCCAAACTACACGGCATCTGCTACTGGACCTCAGGCCGCGCACAAACTTAGTGATTCTAATTCCCGTCACCGTGTATTGCATCCTTACTCAGGTTGTCTAGTGAGTCTAGTGGCTTTTGACTCTCTTGGAGATTCAGGGAGCCCTGCTGGCATGTAGCTGCCTTGATTGCCTCGCGTCCCCAAGGGGCGTTGCTTACGTCCAAACACTTGGCCACGACCTTCATCGAATTGTGATATCCTGAACCTCTTTCAAGCTCTTTCTCGAGCCCTTCAGTCCCTCTGAAGCCGTTGAAGCCTTCTTTCCTCCTTTATTGTCTTTCTCCAATTGTCCTTCGATTTTCTTTAAGGCTGCTCCTTCCACGCAATGCTAATCTCCTTCTATCTTCTCGGTTGGCTCCTCTTTTTCACGATCGCGGATCCTTTTCGAAGGATGTGCTCTGGTTACTGATGTGCACAGCCCCTTTCCTGCAATCCGCTCCGCTTGCTGGCAATCCCCAATTATCCTTCCAGCCCGTTTTAGGCGGGTTGCTCCTTTGGCTCGAATTCTGTAGCAATTTTCACTTATGCAGGTCTGCTCTCCTCTTTCTCAGATCACTGAATCCCTTTCGAGCAGTTTGCCCTCCTTTCTCGACTGCTCTCCTCTCAATTTTTTTGCTTCGGGACTCCATGGATTTGCCCGGGGCACTTCCTACAATACCCGGTGCTGTTCCATGAACAGCTTATTATTCTTTCGGAAATTCTCGAAACCCGTTCAAGCACGGTCCTTTTCGAACTTCCCTGGTCGCTTCCTGCCATGCGTCGGGGCTTCGTGCTTGCGCTTCACTTTGTTTTCCAAGTCTGTTCTAAATAGTGTCTTTCGGACCGTGTGCTCCCATCGTCTCAAACTCTATATTATATCCCGCGCTGAAAATCTTGCTCACCCCTCTGATATCCTCCACGCCCCAAGACCCGTTTCGAACGTATTTTCCCCTCTTTGCTCCTCTTTCAAGGCTTGGTTGCCTTTCCGCAGGCACTCTACCGTGTGTCTTTGCTTTCACAGGATTCGCAGGTGTGCATTCGCGCTGGCGGTATGCTCATGACTCATGATGCTTCAAGGTCTTTCCATATTCGATTTTCTCAACTTCTTGCTCTTCTATTATATTGCCCTACCAGACTGGAAACATTCTCCGATTTAAGTCCGTTCATGTCCGTTCGATCGGTTTGCTGCACTTGTACTGCTCTGCCCACAAGCGCACAAACACAAAGCCAACACCAATCAAGCCATCGCGTTCAGGCAGCCCCGAAACATGATGTGAACAGAAGAACTCGTGTAACTCGTGTAAAGTGCGAACCCTCTAGATAGTTCCCGCTGGCGACTTACAGCCTCACTACTGAAAGCGCATGATTGAAAATCAACCTAAAGAGTTATGGGCCTGCGCAGGGTCAGGCACTATGTATGGTGTTGCCCACTGCCAGCTGCGCACACGACATTTACACCAAGGACATCATAGAGCCTTCGTTAACGCCGACACTTGCAGCTCGCTGCATTCGAGGTTCAGCAACTTCAGCTGCTGAAGCACATGTTGATCGCAGTTCTTCTTGTGTCGCTAGAATGTATGGCTCATGAACCGGGTCCACAGCACCTGAGCAGCAACTACTGGTTGCTCACTGCATCGAGGGTCTTGCAGGATTCGAAAACAACCAGTCAGTAGTCAGTGTGGCTTCCGCAACTCTCCTCGTTATACTTTTGGCTGAAGGACATTCTTCGAAAATGGCCAAGTACTGCACAATGAAGGATATGAAACTCCTTGGTCAACTTCGCGACACGTACAGGTTAGTTGCAAACCAAAAACAGCAAGATATAGTCCTGGTATGTCCTGTGTGAAAAATAGTGCGACCAGTGGAACAAACGGCCAAGGTTCTCTGGCGAAATTGCAATCGTGGACCCGGTCAGTCTGCGCGCCATGCCCTTCAGAAGGAAGGTGTGAAAGTCGCGCCTTCGCCAGTTTTCTAGACTCTTCTTATATGACTTGCTCAAAGGTTGCGGCAGGCCACCGCTGAATCCACCGGCCTGTGGGAATCCAGACCACGCTCCGCGAGCGAAGCCTGGCGCGACATAGTCACGCACGTTGCGGATCATTGCGGCGCGGGACACGCGCCGCGAGGCGCGCCTGGGTGTCGGCCGACTTGTTCAACATGGAATCCATCTCCGTGACGGTGTCGTTGAAAGTCTCTGACACTTGACTCCTGCCTTCGCGTGATTTTTGGCCCCATGCCCCTCTCCAGCACGCAAACAAGACACAAAATGCGAATGCTTATACCAGGTCTGGTGGCTGGCTTGCAGTCTGATAGATCTGGTCTGCAGGTCTGCGCCTTCGTTGCAACATGATGTAACATTTGAAGAGATACACTTGAAGAATATCTGTTACCATGTCAAACTCACGTCCTTTCCAAAACCACTGCAAGATCTCCACGGCTTTGCATGCTGGAAGACATACAGTTATTAATCCCAACATGTGCTCACCCTTCTTGGTGGCTTTGGCGAGGGTACGCTACGGGTACACTTGTAGCTAGCTTCGGCAATTCCCATCTTCCGACCGGGGTCATGGAGTCATAGAGGCAGTCAGGCAGTCAGGCCGAACCTGCAAGCATAGGTTCCTCCCCGAGCGGCCAAGTAAAACTTGCAAATCAACACCCAGTTCAGCATTGCAGGTCTATCGCAATTGAAATGGGCCGGAGGATAGCAACTCAAACTGCCAAAAGTTATGATGTCCTACCAAGTGTGGCAACCATAAAGCAGGAAACTTGAACCCAACACTTGCAGGAAACATATCAACTCATGATGCTGAGCTTTTGTTACGTTGAGACCTGCTTGTGATCCAAGTCGCTGTACTCGACCAGGTGCTTGAAAAAATGTTGCAAACAAAACAAGCCATATGAGAAGCATAGAATCAGTACCTGAGAAGAGACTGGCACAAGATGACCACATTCTCGCCAAGTACGTACTCGCCATACAACCCTCAGACCTGTCATAATATCAGCTTAGCCTCACAAATCTCCAAGTTGGTATGCGTGACGTTGTACCAGTTGCGATACTCCATCAATATCCGAGCTAGCAAAGCCACGTCTGCACCGGTGCCGATGAGGAGTACGAGGTGAGGCACGCTGTGGATTACCTTCACATACGTCGGCACATACCTGCAATGTCGTGCTTCTGGTACGGTAGCATGTACCAATGTATTCAGCACGCCCTCCATGCACATGCGAACCAAGGTGCTTGTATTTGGAGGGGGCGAGGTCCCTTATCGGCACATCGATGCGAACATGAGCTGCTTGGAAAAATCAAGGAAAGTTGAACAGTAAATCCGTCGCAACAAATGCCAGTCCAAGCTTCCCAATGAAACGAAAAGGTTCCAGAGGGAAAAGCCAGCCGTGTGATTCGTTCGTATTCGCTGCTTCAGAAGCAGCATCGTTTCTTGATGACGCGGTGGCCTGAAATGAGCGATGCAAAATGCTCTCAAAGCACCGGCTTCGGGCCCGTGCTGCTAGAGGCAATGAGGCTGCGGCGTTGTAAGCAGGCACCTCGTCTGATGTAAGTTTTGTGGTCCTTGCAAAACAAGCAGCAACTAGGACCAAAAGCTCAGCAGTCGCGACAGCGTCCCCACCACCGCTATCGCCACGCGACCTATATGCATTACCACTACCACTCCTGCTGCTACTACTACTACTACTACTACTACCACTACTACTACGACGACGAGGACTCCTAGACTCCTAGACTGTGTGCCAAAATCGAACGCTGCCCGGTTCAAAGAAAAGCAGTTGCATCTGATGCCCCATGTCGTACTGCATTAGCAAAACAACAGTTAGACTGCCACCAAACACAACCCCATTGCATGACCCGTGGCCACCAAGCGTCTCTGCTTCTGCCATGCAGAACCGACCAACCGACTGCCAGTTCGCAAACAACTGCACCCACGAAATAGGCCTGGGACTTAGGTTTGAGCCACATCTAGCAACGACAGCATGCCTCTCCGAACCCACAAGTCCAGAACAGACTCATTACCGGCATCGTTACAGAATCCACGTGTCGCGAGTTGGGTGAAAATTCTTTGGTTGCGCCATGTCAATCGGTTGCGAGGCATACAAAACCCGTTGAAGCAGGCCTTTGCAAGCCTTCTATTCAGCACATCAGCCCGCAGCACATAGCAAAGCCGACCAACGAGGAAGCAAGCAAATGGGCAGGCTCAGGCATGGGCTGCAGAGCACACTTAGCATCGGGCTACTTGTACTGTAACAGGCGGAGCTTAGTCCGACTTAAAACGCACCAGTGACGTCCATTCTGCCAACGCCCGTTTCATGTGTCGGGTGATCACATCGCTGCCTGCATCTGCCTGCCCACGGTCTTACGAATGTGCTGGTCCGCGACCTCAACCTCCCAGCTGCGCGGCATGATGAGCAGCGTATTTGGCACTGCCGCCGGCGCACCGCAGGTTTACGGAGCGCACTAGATACGAGAGTAGGGTTTATTTCACACCAGTCGGCGAGAATACACATCACCCGAATGTGGACAATGTTTCAAGAGTTTTTTCACGCTCCTTTTACGACTGCGCAAGAATCCGGGTCTCACTGCAACTGCATAAGGACCCAAACGGCTCGAAGTGGGGGGCTGCGTCGCGATGCGTCGTGCAGTACGTCCCCGAGCGCAGGGAGCCGGTAACCAGGCATGGCTATGGTGCGCCCAGCAGCTTTGCAGCGAGGATGCTTTGCAAACCAATGCTCAGCAGGCGCCACCAGCGGCAGAGCCAGCCCTGGCTAGCGGCGCTGCGCAGGGCGGCAGGAAGAAGGCTTATGTACCCGACATTACCCGACCAATCAGCCAAGCCGAAGGTGTTGAACAAGGGAGCGTCTCGTTTTAGGCCTGCTCTGTTTTGGTTGGGTTCGTGGAAGGAGGACATGCGCGAGGACTTGGGCGAACCCATTTTTGCTACCGCGACATCGTCGCATCGCCTCGCTGATGTGCATCCGGTGCTTCGTTTTGCGCCTCGCCCGCCACACGCAGCGTTTCAACGTCGCCGCCAAACGGCCCTTTGGAGTGAGGCTGGCATCGCTGCGTGGTATCCCGGCTGATGGAGGTGTGTGGCTCGGTGACCATGTGCTTGAACCATCGTCCCGCGGGTTGTGCGCAGCTGTACACCGGGCACGGTTTCCGTGCTGCAGCCCGCGCTAACACTTTGCCAGGCTGCGCGGTCGGTGCTGCAGTGCGGCGCATGCGTCACAACACTTTACCTGAACTCCGCCATGTTCGAAGGTGCTGCCTTGTCGTCCTTGGCCTCGACACTGGCGGCAGGTTCGGCACCGAGGCAGTCCAGTTCCTGCTCCTCCTGGCGCGGCACCGTGCCGCGGCCGTGCGGCCCGCTGACTGTTTCGCTTAGAGTGTTTCGCTTACTGGCTGATTGTGCTGGAGTCCGCCAGTCAAGGTAGCGCGTATATGTCCCAGTGCAAACTATAGTTTGCACTGGGACATCCTGTGTTAAAAAACTAACGATGTGCCTCTCACGTGGGCGCTTGTGGAATCCAGATTGGGAATGGCTGGTTTTGATGCGGTGTGTGCTGCCGCTGATGTGCGTCTCGAGCGGCTTGTGGATTCAAGCGTCCAGATGAGAAACGACTGGTTCTGATTTGTTCTGATTTGCTGTCGTGCCACACATGTGCGTCTCCGTGGGTGCTTGTGGAATCGAGCGTCCAGGTGGGATGATGTGCTGTCATGCCACTGATGTGCGTCTTGTGTTTCCACTGATGTGCGTCCCATGCGTCCCGAGCGGCTTCTGGATTCGAGCATATTCCAGCGTCTAAGTGAGGGATGGCTGGTGTTGATGTGCTGTCATGCCACTGATGTGCGTTTCACGTGGGTGCTTTTTGGAATCGAGCGTCTGGATGGGGATGATGTGATGTCGTGCCACTGATGTGCGTCTCGCGTGGGCGCTTGTGGATTCGAGCATTTAGATGAGGAATGGCTGGTTTTGATGTGCTGTCATGCCACTGATGTGCGTCTCGCTTGGGCGCGTGTGGAATCGAGCGTACAGATTAGGAGTAATTAAAATCGGGTGGTCCCATGCCACTGATGTGTGTCTCGCGTGGGCGCCTATGGAATCGAGCGTCTAGATGGGGAACTACTGGCTGCCACTGATGTGCCGTCTCGAGCGGCTTGTGGCATCGAGCATCTAGATGGGGAAACCGTTGATCCTGCTGAGCCGAATCGCCCAACTTGTGCGGCTCTGAGCCGCGCTGATCATTGTTGCCACACGAACGAAGAAGGGCGACCTGGCGACAACCTTGCAGACGACAATAAGGCGGGCGGCTGCCGCGCCATGATACGCAGGGTCGCGCGCACATCCAATGCAACCAGGCCTGCATAGGTTTCTGTGCAAGTGTATGTGCAGTGAGACGGCGGAGGAAATCACCAACCACCAAACGGCAGTCACTGCCAGTGGGTTTGCGGATCGCGGACCTGTGCCTGTGCAACGGGCGATGTGACATCATATGGTCAAGGCGTGAAACGTCTTTGCTTGTCAGCCCAATCGTATGGTGCTTTGTCGGACAAACAAGCACAAAGCAAGCTGAACATCGAGTTCAATCAAGTGTTGACAAGCTTTCCTCACGATGTACATGTTGTTCACCTCGTAGGTAAAACTTGCCAACGTTTCATTGAAGTGATGTTCGCTTTACGTGCCGTTTTCGCAGCATATTGCTCCCTGTGCTTTGTTACCATGAATGAATTGGCAAGTAAACATGTTTCACGCTCTGACCATGACACATGGTCGTTAACGGACTCTACTCTCACGAGGTCGGCAATTCGTACCACTACACAGCCTACACAAGCGGCACTCACTGGCTCACACAAGTTCACAATGACATACGGTTGCAAACAATGGCTCATATGCCGCAGCAGCCTGGCACACATGTGCGACACAGGCTCTATTCCGTGAGATGTCACGTGCGCTGTTGATGCAAGGGTTGGTGCCCAAGAGCCGGTGTAGCGATAACGGCGAAGTGCCACCGGACTGTTGCACCCAGCACTGGCGAGGCTTGATGTTTGCTGCAGTTAAGGAAATGCATGCTCATAGGGAAGCAATGTCGACCGCACAAAAACATACAAAAACGGCATGACGCCGAAGGGTCAGCATGACGGCCGAAGATATTCCAACATGACCTAACCAACAAAGCTGCCCTTGCACTGCAATTGATGGGGAGCCGCGCGGCCGCTTAAGCAAGCGATGAACCGCTGCCCCAACCCGCCGCCGCTCGTGCCAACTTGTGTTTGCGCCACGGCGGACTTGGTCTCCGCAGTGCAGCCGAGCATGCGCCTGCGGCGTACTTGCATCCTCGGCTGACTCGCTTGGGGCGCTCCGTGTCCGTGACCCTGACTCTTGTCACGTCGTTGAACGCTTACTTGATAACAGCACCTGCCTCCTCACTCCCCCGCTGCTTGAGCTCCCTCGCCGGTGCTGTCCGCCTTCTCCGCGACACTGGTTTCCAACCTCCTGCTTTCGGCGACTTGCCCCCGCAACCCCCCGTCGTCCCAGCAGACGCTGACGAGCCTGTCGACACTACTCGAGGTTGGCAGCGGCCCGCCTCCCGTGCTATCGACTATAGCACCGCTGGCCGTTTCCGCGCAATGCTCGACTCTCCCTCCCTTGCCCTGCTGGACTCTCAGTGCGGACCGTTCGCTTCAAGGGTTCTCACTGCCTTGCCTTCTTGCAACGAGCTCACTTTGGACTCGCCTGTTTTCCGAGCTTTGTTGCTCCGCCGGCTTCGCTTGCCCTTGCCACTCGACGCTGCAGCCTGTCGCTGCCGCCGTCCCGTCGACCCTTGACCACCGCGCTGCCTGCCCCCGTTCTGGCATCTTGCGCTCCCGTGGCCTCCCGTTCGAGCGTGCTGCTGCCCGGGTTTGCCGCGAAGCCGGGGCTACTGTTGCCTGCAATGTTCTCGTTCGTGACCTGAACATCCACCCCGAGCGCCTCGATGACCGCCGCATCGAGGTCATCGCCAACGGACTCCCGCTCTGGGGCGGAGCGCAACTCGCCGTTGACACCACCCTCGTGTCCCCTCTCGACGCCAGTGGAGCTGCCCGTCGGCACCAGCGGCAGTACCGCGGCGCTGCTCTTGCTAAGGAACGCACCTACCCGGAGCTGCTGCGCTCGCAGAGGTGCCGGCTTGTTGATGCTTGTTGTCCTTGCGCTTGAGGTTGGTGGCCGCTGGAGTTTTGAGGCCTCCCAGTTCGTTCGCCTCCTGGCTTGGTGCCGGGCCCGTGCTGTGCCTCGACTGTTGCGGCCTGCAAGCATTGCTGCCTTCACTTCCCGTTGGTCCGCCTTGCTCGCCTTCTCCGCCGCCAGAGCCTTCGGTGCCAGTCTCCTTGGCCTTTCCCTGCCCGGCACCGCCAATGTTGATGGCGACCATCCCCTTCTCAGTGAGGTCCTTTCCTCGACGAAGCCCCGCCTGTTGCCAGCCGTTTCCCCCCGCACCAGTGAGCTGCAGCCTTGGACTCGGGCGTGGAGGACGCTGACCTCGTGAAAAACAGCGTGTAGCTGCAGTTCCTCCCCCCTGCTCTGGGACCGCATTACTCGTGGCGCAAAAAGGTCCGAGGAAAAAAAAAAGACATCCAGTTTTCCTGCCAGTACTCACTATGATGATACGAGATAGGGGCACCGCTTCGAGATACCGCAAGTAGCATAAGCCTTAAATAAACGCAGCGGCTCATGTGTTCCGGGCGGTACCCATGCCATCGGCATCGCCGGGAACAAGGTGGAGCAGCTGGGCGAGGCAGCACAAGATGTCGCGATCATGAGCGACAGCAAAAACAGCCGTGAGTGCAGGGGGGAGCAACCGAAGACAGTAGTGCACGCGAGGAGACGCACAAAACAACAGCAGTA